TGCTGCAACAAATTATGATAATAGACTATCGATCACGTTGAACATGTTTTAATGGAATTAAATACAAATGCAGCGGTCTCTTTGTGTTTCTAAAGAGAGACATTGCGAGCAAAATGCACATTTATTGCTACTTTCTAAATAAAATGCTACAAAAAATGACACTTTCCTCCCTTGATATTTAATAATAAATTCCTCGAGGTGAATTATGGTCTGCAAGCAATTTAAATGAATGCAATAAAAGGAAAAAAACTTTGTGTAATAATTTAAAACGTGGCCTTATTTTTTATGCTCTTGATCCTTATATTAATGTCCACCTCATGCTATATACAAATATTATAGTTGGTAGGTATGTAAATGTTAATGGGGTGCCCACGGGCGTACTTGTGCATGTCTTGCCTTAGCAAATTGAGGCTAAATTATGGCAGGTCAGAAGGGCCCCAAAATGGCGCTGATGATGTGCACGACAGGTGGCAACGAACGCAACCAATTTTATTTATTTCGTAAAATTGGTTCGAAACCTCACTGAGTAGAAATTAAAAAAAATCGATTGAGACTTGTTTAATATACAGCGAAAAGCAGAAATAAGTGCATCAATTCTAAGCATCATAGAACTGACCTGACTCAATATTTAGTACATACATAGTTGAATAGAAATAAGTACGTGGCTATAGTTTGTTAGTTTGGAAAAAAATATCAAAAAAGCGGTTTCGAAATTTGGCTAATATACAGTGAGAGACAGAAATAAGTACCAGACCTGACCCGATATTTCAATTTAATAATCAGGGTTGCAAACCCAATATTGTTACACTGTCTTTTTCACTAGCCACAAACCGGTTTTCGATTTTGTAATCTACAAAATTGGTTTGAAACCCGAATAAGACTAAAAAATATACATAGTTGGATAGAAATAAGTACGTGGCTATAGTTTGTTACTTTGAAAATAAATGTCAAAAAAGCGATTTTGAAATTTGACTAACATACAGCGAGAGACTGAAATAAGTACATCACATCGAAACACCAATCTTTGAATTCAGTAATCAGGGTTGCAAACTCAAGATTTGTTGTTACACTGTCTTTTTCACCAATTTTCGGTTTTATTAAATCGATAATATTGGTTTGAAACCCGACTAATACTATAAAATGTACTGTACTATAGTTTGTTAGGTTGGAAAAAAATAAAAATGTCAAAAAAGCAATTTTTAACTTGAATAATATACAGCAAAGAGCAGAAATAAGTACATTAGTAGTACTAGCCCCTAATCGATTTTCAATTTTATTGAGTCGATACAATTGGTTTGAAACCTGACTAAAGCTAGAAAATATACAGAAGCGAGTAGAAATAAGTACGTCGCCATAGTTTTGCTCTGTTGGGAAAACAATAAAAATAAATATTGAAAAAGCGATTTTGGAACTTGATTAATAAACAGCGAAGGATAGAAATATGTACATCAATTCTAGACCTGACCTAACCTAACCCTTAAATTTGCTAATCAGGGCTGCAAACTTAATATTTGTCGTTGCACTGCGCTTTTCACAAACCGGTTTTCGATTTTATTAAATCTACAAAATTGGTTTGAAACCCGACTAATACTAGAAGAATACTAGAATACTAGAGGTAAGTAGAAATAAGTACTCTACTATAGTTTGTTAAGTTGGAAAAAAAATAAAAATAAAAAAAGCGATTTTTAATTGGACTAATATACAGCAAGTGGCAGAAATAAGTACATCAGCTCTAAGCATTTTAAATTTTATAATCACGGTTGCAAACTCAATATTTGTTGTTACACTGCCTTCTTCAGTAGCCACAAACCGGTTTTCGATTTTATTAAATCGACAGACTTGGTTAAAAACCTTATTAAGGCCACAAAATATACCTAGTTGAATAGAAATAAGTACTTGGCTATAGTTTGTTAGTTTGGAAAAAAATGTCAAAGAAGCGATTTGGAGAAATAAGTACGTCGTGTTGAAAAAAAAAATCGATTGTGAGACTTGTTTAATATACAACGAGAAGCAGAAATAAGTGCATCAGTTCTAAGCGCCATAAAACTGACCTGCCTCAATATTTGTTGTTACAGTGTCTTTTACACTAGCCACAAAGCGGTTTTCAATTTTATTAAATCGACAGAATTGGTGTGAAACCTGACTAAGGCTAGAAAATATACATAGTTGAATAGAAATAAGTATGTGGCTATAGTTTGTTGGTTTGGAAAAAATTTCAAAAAAGCGATTTTAAAATTTGACCAATATACAGGGAAAGACAGAAATAAGTACATCAGTTCGAAGCATCAGATGTTTAAATTTTATAATCAGGGTTTCAAACCCAAGGTTTGTTGTTACACTCCCTTTTTCATAGCCACCAAACGATTTTCGATTTTATTAAATCGACAAAATTGGTTTGAAACTTGAATAATACTAGAAAATATACAGAGGTAAGTAAAAATAAGTACGTCATCATAGTTTTGCTCAGTTGAGGAAAAAGAAATAAATGTTGAAAAAGCGGTTTTGAAACTTGATTAATATACAGCAAAGAATAGAAATAAGTACATTGCACTGCGCTTTTCACTGAACACAAACTGATTTTCGATTTTATTAAATCAACGAAATTGGTTTGAAACCCGACTAATGCTAGAAAGTATAGAGAGGTAAGTAGAAATAAGTACGTTGCTATAGTTTTGTTGAGTTGTAAAAAAAAACAATGTCAAAAAAGGCGATTTTGGAAGTTAATTAATATACAGCAAGAGACAAAAATAAGTACATCACTTCTAAGCATGAAACCTTTAAATTTTATAATCGAAATTGCAAATTTAAAATTTGTTGCCTTTTTTACAAGCTATACTCGTAAATAGCCCAATTTTCAAATTTATTACATCGACAAAATTGATTTGAAACCTAACTAATACTAGAAAATATACATTGTTGAATAGAAATAAGGGTTGTAGGATAGAAAAAAAAAAGAAAAAAGGAAAAAAAGCGATTTTGAAACTTGGCTAATATACAGCGAGAGACAGTAATAAGTACCAGACATGACCCGACATTAGATAATCAGGGTTGCAAATTCAATAAAATTGGTTTAAAACTTGACTAATATTAGAAAATGTTACTGTACTATATTTTGTTAGGTTAAAAAAAAAATAAAAATGTCAAAAAAGCAATATTTAACTTGAATAATATACATCAAAAGGCAGAAATAAGTACATTAGTACTAAGCATCAAAGACTCAACGTTTGAATTAGCTAATCAGGGTTGCCAACTGCCAACTTAAGTCCAATATTCTCAATCTAAATAAAAACACTAGTTGTGGTTTATACTCAAGCAGCCGCCATTGATTTTTAATCTTATTATATCAAAGACCTCCGCGAATAAGTCGCGGAGTTTTTAATGATGGTATAAATGTTGTATGAATGTCCCTATATGTTGGTTTCTTGTCATTTAAGAATTTATGAGGCATTTATTGAATTAAATGCATAAATAAATAGATCTGTGGGAGGTAAAACGGCCATTGTTTTTCGTAAAATTTTCAATAAATCCCTTGGTATCTCGATGCGAATCGATATCAACCCACGACGTCTGCGATTTATTTTAATTACAACGGTATTTACAAGTGACAAACAGTGATGTGTGGTAACTAGATTTACACAAAACTTTAAATTACTTTGAAATTCAATTACTGGTTCGGATCGGTTTTCGTGATAAAAATAAATGGACATTGTTAAACAAATCTTTAAGTAAATAATATGGTAGCTTGAGCGAGGGCGTTTGAGCGCATTAAAATGTAAATAACTTATTGATGATAATATGTATTTTGATAAAAATACTTAAAGTGCGTGGGATCGAAGCGTGGGAATGTAAACATGTCAATTACTTTTTCCACGACATTTATTTTTACATAATATTATTTGTGGTTTCGGATGGAAAAGAACCAAGAAACTGAAGCACTGAAAGATCCATAAAACGGGTTAGGAGATTTGCATATACAGCGAATTATATGCGATTATTGGACATTGAGGGCCATAATCGGCTTTATATTACGCAATTGACAACAAACAATAAAATAAAAAAGAACTTAATTGTCAGCCTGTATATTAAAAAAAACAGCCTGTATATTTTTTTCCCAAAAATTTTTTAATTTTTTTTTCAAGTGTTTTGTGCTTTTCTCAATTAGGTTAGCAACTGAAATGTCACGTAAATTTCCAGGCACAGGTCACTTTGATGTTGGCTTTTTATGAATAATTTCCAATAAATTCCTCTCTATCTCTGCACCGGAAAGTAATATCAGTTAATGAGCGGTTTCACTTGGGTGTTCCGAGTCAAACAACTTATTTTTCCTATAAATTAGCCATTATCGTGCCTATACGAAGAATCATGGGAATGATAATGTTAAAATTGCTACAAATTCACTTAACGACTCAATCTCTTTTATTTGTAATTTTTTCGAAAATAAAATCCGACAAAGTGTTAAATTAAATTCGTTTTTCACTATTACCGATCCCAGAAGCTGATATTATCCTTGCCGCTGGAAATGACTTGATATAATTAGAGAGTAGTGATAATCAATTATACGAATAGATGATTACTGATTAGAATCGCCTCATACGCAACATGTTATTAATTCCTTTGACTCGACGGAAATTAACAAATAAAACCAAAAATAATTGCTTGTGATTAAAAAAAAAAATGCCCCACCTTCCCCTACTAAGTTTTTTCGAAACTAGTAGGTATGTACAGTTACACGTCGCGACATCTGGGCGATACACTGCCAAGCGTGAGAATAATCTACAGAAACCTATTTTACCGGCACTTGAAGACCCTTCATACTTACGCAACTTTAAATTCACGTGTGTGTGTATGTATGCCGACTATTACCAACCTTATGAAGCGCGCAATTTAAATCGACTTAAGTTAAAAAATTCATAATTTTTTAAAGTTGACGCAATAACGTTTTATGCACTTTTTTGAGTATTGAAATTAACGTATATTTGACATCCGACAGAAATTGACACTTGTTTTGAAATAATTTATTAAAATTTTTACATTTAAAAATAATAACTAAAAAAATCACACTGAAATAAGTTAATTAACAAAGGACGCACTGTCATATATCCTTCTTTTCATGTTTCTCGTCCATCTGCACACTTTCTTCCCCTTTCTCTTCCGTTTCTTCCATTTCATGATTCTTCTTGAAGAGTTTCCCCCCTGTGTATCCCGCAATGGCACACCCTAACGCCGTCAAGCCCCCAATTTTAAACCCTGCGACTAGTCCCACAGGCCCCCCAATCATGGACCCTAAAAACGCCCCCGTGACCGGATATACAGCAGTTTTCAATCTGTAATAAAAACAATAATTGATTGCAATAAATCAACCAAAACAAACTTGTGGGCTTTGACGAGTTGTTTAAACCCCGATTGTACATTTTCTTTACTTTCTTCAATTGTTTCCTCAACATGCTCGACTTGCTCTCGTTGTCCTTCCACCATTTCGTTGAGATGTGTGAAAATTTGGTTCAAGTCTTCGGTGTCTCTTTGAACGGTTTCAACCTCGTTTAACAATTCTTGGCGTTGTCTTAGTTTAATGTCGTCAAGAGTGTCTTGCAACTGGATCTGGGAGGCCCCCTCAAAGGGGCACAGTCTCTCCTCCTCATCTTGGGTTTGGTTGTCTAATGCTATACTTCGTTTTTCTAAATCTAAACACAAATTATTGCGAGTTAATTAATTAAAACTAATCACCTGTGTAACCAGAAATTAACGTAATTATAATTTTTCTAAAAGATAAAGTTTTGGTGTCAAATTTATCCAAATCAGAGTCTTCCACTTGTGCCCTCAAAGTGTCCAATTCGTACATTAAATCTTTCAATTGTTTCACGATTCGTTTTTTGTTTTTCACTTCTTGACGTACAAGTGGGGCATTGTTTTGCGATAGCAACTGAAACATAGAAGGCTGGGGTCAAACTTTATTTTTCATGGCGCATTGAGTAACCAAATTGTATTATCAAAAATTCTATTTTACCTTGAGAACTAGTGTTTTGTGTTGTTCAAAAATAAATTGATGGTGTGGAATGACTTCTTCACTGAATTTATTTAAAGGCACTTCGATCAGTTTCAAGGGTTGTTTCGTAACACTTGTGTTTAAAATCGACATTGTTGCGCGCTTTTATCACCACATTACTGTGTGTTTTTTTTTATTACAACACAAAGAATTTTGACGTTTCTAACCAAAAAACTATTATTGTTGTCGGTAAAGTTGGTTTCTGTAGAGTGTTTTGCCCAGATGTCGCACCAGTGACAACATAAAACATATAAAACGCAAATTCCCTATTAAAATAGCGAAATGACTAAGAAAATTCGGCTATTTAATTAAAAAATTTTGAAAAGAATTAAACCAATCATATGTAAAAAGATAAAATTGTAAAAATTTTATAAAACGTCGGGTAAAAGTTTTTAAGTTTAAAATTCGCGCTGTTTTAAATGTCAAGTCAAATGTCAAAAAATTTGGTTATATTTGAATCAATTTTCTAGCCAATTTCGGCAAAATATCTTGAATTAAATAAATGTTTACCTAAAAACGAGCTAAATTGTCTGATTTTTGATGTTTAAAAGCATTTATTTTATTTATTCAAAACATAAATAATGCATTATCACAATTAACATTACCAGTTGATAAAAATACAGAAAACTTAACAAATTATCATAAAACACCTGTTACTTGCAACCTTTGCCCCTCCATTTTTTATAACACATGTAAAAGTCACCTTGACCCCATAATTCATCGCCCCCCAACTTTTACTTTTACTACTCTAGTCGCGTCTCAGCCATAATAAACAAATGATAATTCTGTGATAACACTGATAAGTGCTAATTTTAAACGTGGTCATGTCTTCGGTTTCAAAAATTTTCGAAAAATACACAATGACCGTTCTTGAAACGATAGGTGCAGGTGTTTTAACCTATGGGGTCCTCCACTTACTCGCCTTATGCCTCGTTGATTGTGATTTAGAACTGACTTTTTACTCCCTCTTCGGGAAATCACCAAGTAAGCCCCTCGAAAACCCTAACCTCACTCATCTCCACCATTTCAGGAAAACTGAAAGGCAAAGTGGTGTTCATCACGGGGGCCTCCAGCGGCATCGGCGAACACACCGCCAAAGCCCTCGCCAAGCACGGCGTTCGCCTCGTCCTCACCGCCCGACGCCCCAACGAACTCGAACGAGTCAAAACCGAATGTCTCCAATTAGCAAAAAACCAACTGGGGGACAAAGACATCCTCGTGATCCCCTTCGACATCACCGACTTGTCCCTCCACAAGGGGGTCTTCCAACAAGCCCTGAGCCACTTTGGCACCATCGACATCCTCGTAAACAACGCAGGACGCTCCCAGAGGGCCCTCTTCGAACACATCGACATGGCCGTCGACAAACAAATGTTCGAATTGAACGTTTTCGCTGTGGTCAACTTGACCAGACTTGCTGTAAAGCATTTCAATGAAAAGGGGGCTGGGCATGTGGCAGTTGTCTCGAGTCTTGCGGGGGTTTTCGGGGTACCATACTCGGCCACGTACACAGCCACCAAACACGCAATTCATGTATGGGACAATTTAATGTAATTTTGGGACTGATTGGGGTTTTCTAGGGCTACTTTGATGGCCTCAGGATTGAGAAAATGGGACAAAATATTGCAGTGACTCTCCTATGTCCTGGACCAACTTTCACCAATTTCCTACAGGAGAGTTTCACGGAAAAAGACGGCCAGGTATCACACCACAGCCACTTTGATTGAAAATTATTCGTTTTTTTTTTTTAACTAGAAATATGGAATTCCAGCCGAAAGGAAAGACAGGAGGATGACAGGGGAAAGGTGTGGACAATTATGTGCCATAGCCTTGGCCAATAGGACGCAAGAATCCTGGATGGGGCTCTTCCCCTTAATGCCTTTCGTCTACACTGCAGTCTACTTCCCAACTGTCTCAAAAATGTACACAAAAAATTAATTATTGTCACAATCTAGTAATCCATGATTTCAGAGCTTTGAGACTATTAGGGCCCCGTGGACTGTTCAAAATGCGAGACAGCAAAGACATTCAATTCGATCAGGTAGAAAATATTGTATAAAGTCACGTTTTTCAAGACTGAAATTGTGTATAACGTATTTATGTAACATTTCGTCAAGTGAGTCATGTAATTTCAAAAGTCACAACAACCAATCACAATGCCGTTACTATGGCAACTTAACTGAGTTGTCATAACAACAGCTTAAATCCAATACTGTGATTGGTCACTGCCTAGCAACGCCATTTTTCTACAATGTGCTTACCAGTGTTGCCAAGTCTAGTGAAATTTCACCAGATCTGATGAAAACTTTTGTAAAAATTTTCTCAAAAATAAGTTGAAAAATCGAGAGACAGTTTTGTTTTTCTAAATATTTCACTCAACAAGGTAAAAAAATCGCTAAAATAGATCAAAATTATTATTTTGACCATTTCTGAGCGTTTTAATATGTTTTTAGCAAAATTTCGTCAAAAACAAACCAAAAATATATCAAATTAGGCCAAAACTAGTGCTATTTTTGCATTTTTAGGGTGTTTCAGCTCGATTTGGTTCGTTTTTGAACCAGAGACTCATTTATTTTGCAGGATAGTGACAAAACATGCTTAAACACAACAAAACTAAATCTAAATTGATGTTATTTCGTTTGTTTAATTCGATTTAGCTCATTTTTAGTGAAATTTTGTCAAAAAAAAAATAATACAAAATATGGTCGAAAATGGTGTTAATTGCAAAATTTTGCTAAAACAAACCAAAAAAACATCATTATTTTTGCTTTTATCAAGTGTTTTAGCATGTTTTTCATGTAAAACCGTAAATATCGCGTAAATAATTTGGTGTCACAAAAATTTAATTTAGCAACCTTGACTGTCAAAATCAAACGTCAAATTTTTATAAACAATTGTCATTCATTTGCGCTACTGATGGTTTAGCCGTCACTTGAAACAACTGCTATAACGAAGGATTACCAATAATTCAGTGTTGCCAACACCCGGTATTTCGCAAAATTTAATTAAAAATTTGCCAAAAAAGTGGTGTTACCTATTTTTGCGTTTTTGAGCAGATATGTAGGTATAAATCTGGTAACTTTTCTGCTCAGATCTGGTGATTTTAATTTTGAGCTGACGACACTGGTGCTTACATTCATGCTATTCTAATTTTTTCCAGGGTAAGCAAAAACTTTGAAGTGGTGATGGACTGCACATTTTTCCACTAACATTATTTCCCGTTTCTGAGATTAATAGCAAATAAGTGGTGATGGTGTTACTTCTTTTTTCTTCTTTTTTTTTTCTTTAAACTTGACTAAAAACTGGCTTTAAATTCGTATTTGGGGTTAGAAATGTGGTTTAATATCTTACAATATGTACAATAAAGCGAATTAGAGTTGCATGTCTTTTTTCCTCCTCTCCTTGCCCCTCAAAATGGCCGCTTTGAAAAGCTTGCAGTACAGTTCAACGCTGGCGGGGGTGTCGTCATTTCCGGGCACCGGAAACGTCACCAAATTGGGATCACAATTGGAGTCCACAATCCCAACGGTCGCGATCCCCATTTTGGCCGAATCCCTGACCGCCGTGTGTTGCAACAGAACATTGTTCAAAGTGTTTAGGAAAATGCACAAATCGGGCAACCTGGTCACAGCCCCGAACTGTTTCGTCGCATTGGTGAAAATTCCCCCGCGCCAAAACCGCGTATGTGCGAATTCCCCGCATTCGCGCGCCGTTTTCTCCACCAAATGCGAATTCTGGGCCCCCCGCGACAGAAACAGGATTATGCCGTCGCGGTAAGCCACATGTGCGGTGAAATTGAGCGCTCGACGTAAATAATCGGCAGTTTTGTCCAAATCGAAGATTATGTGCCCCAAACGGCTGCCGTAAATGTAGGGCAACATTCGCTCGTTGAGGGAGCCCTCCTTGTGGCCGTAGTGAACCCGAGCGTTGAACAAGTCCCCAACTGTGAATAAATCGTGCACGTGGAAGTAATCCGGGTGATTCAACACGGCTTTTTGAGCCTCCACTAGAAAAAAAAAAACTAAATTAGTTGGGGTGACATAACCTCACTTTTTCATACACGGGGGTGTGACTTCCTGGGCTTGAGGGACACTCGAATTCAGACGCGTTGCTTGAATTAGCACGGTTTTGGTCACTTGACTTGAGAAATATCGCACTGAATACATGTTTTCTGGCCTTAAAGTGGAAAGTTGGGTTATAAACAGGAGCAAATGTGACTGTGTAAAATGTAAGATACCGTCTGTGCACAAGACCGAAAAGTGTTTTTCCTTAATTTCTTAGTACGATAATTGCGCAAAACCAAATAAAATGTTAACAAAATTGATTCTTTATGTTAAATTAATTGCAAACATAATCATAATTAATGATTTGGTTTTGGCCGGATTTTTTAGCGCTTTTACACATTAGGTATCATTTGTCTAGAAAATGCGTTTCAATTTAACTAAATAAATTTCTTGGAATTATTTATTCTTATCAGTAGAGTAAATTTGGGCTTTATTTTTAATTTAATTTGTTTCTTTTTAACCATAACCGTAAAATACTAAAAGCCCACCCGAAATGTCAATTAAATTTGTTGGCCAAGTTGGCACAAAAAACACAAACTTGTCTAAAAATGATTTATTCAACTTGCCTTTAAATATACATGAATTAAAAGTATCAAAATAAAAACACATATTACTTCGAAATTGCGTTTACGCCGATCTTGGCCCTAGTTTTTTCAAAACTTTCAATCCCTGCTCCTTATACTCTTGTTTCGACATCCAAAACGCATCTCTATCTTTCATAACTTCAGCTAAAACCGCACCTCCAATAAAAACCATATCTTTACGTCTCGGGGGATCCTCAATTCGTATTTTAAACTTATTTAATTTCTCTATATCGTTTTTAAGTACACGCTCTAGATATAATTGTTTTATTTCACGTTCGAGTCGTGAGGGGAGCCCTGGATACATGGTGGAACCTCCAGACAAGACTATATGTTTGTACAATTCGGGCCTCATATCGATATCAGCCGCCTAAATAAAAGAAAACACGTTAATTGAGTCGTAGAAAAAACAAAGTATGCAACCTGTATGGTGTTAAAAACAAGCTCGGCGATGCCTTGTCCCTCAACATTGATTAAATGCGGTTGAAATAAAGCTTCAGGGGCCTCAAATCGTTCCCCGCCTACTTTAATCACCCGTCCATCAGGCAAAATATAAGGCTCAACTAAAACAGTAGTTTCCAAAGCCAACCTCTGTTCCGTCTCAATATCATAACCGATGTAACATAATTTTTCTTTCATAATTCGCACAGTTTCAAAATCAGCCGAATGATTAAATGCGTAACCTCTCAATAGTAATAATTTGATAAGATAGCGTGTTATATCACGGCCTGCTATATCCAAACGTCGTGTTAAATGCGGCAAAGCAAACTCCTCATAAACGGGACAAATGTGCGTGACTCCGTCACCAGAATCCACCACAACACCCGATAAAAGGCCCTAAAACTTCTAACTAATTTTCAATCGCCAACTGTGTAACCAAACCTGGGCGTATAAAGTCAACACGGCTTGAACAGCGATGTAAGCCCCCGCAAAACCGTACTTTTCAAACATGACTTCGATCATTTTTTCACGATTTTTCGTGGGGTTCATTGGGGGCTCAGTGAGGAGAATCTACAATCAAGAATTAGAAACGTTCCAGACATTTGAGACTTACTTTAGCATCAGTTGGGTCCAAATCCATTTTTTTGGGGCCAAATGTGTAGTCCCACACGTGACACATGTCCTCCCAGTTGCGCACAACCCCGTTTTCCATCGGGTAATTCACCTCGAGGAGGGAACGCAAAGCGGAGGCTTCATCCCCAACCATCAAGTCCTAGAAATTTAAATTCGATTAAAAATTATGAAAAAACTTGGTGAGACATCAAAGGGGTTCAAGTTTACTTACAGGAAGAGTACTTGCAACTCCCTGAAGCGTGCAAAAGGCAACAAAATTACAAAATTGGAGTTAAAAAAATGATTGACAGACTTTGAAAATCTAGGAAATTTAAGTTGGCACAGTTGGTACAAATTTTTTTTATTAGACGCGATAAAATTACGGGATTAACCCAAATTGATGCGTTGAAATCGATTTTGCACCCCACCAGTATTCCACCAAATTCTACATTATTATTATTTAATTAAATTTAATTGTTTTTGTGCCAGTCAATGTTGGTAATTGTTTAATCACTAAAACGCCAACTTGACTGGGATAAGCCCGTCAATCATTCACGAAATAACAAAAAGAAACACTGTTAGTGGCCTCTTTTGAGGGGGTTAGTGAAGGCACACACCTCTCTGAGGCACTTACATCTACATGGTAATCCTAGGATACAAATTCGCATCAGAACCTGATGAAATAAACAAATTTTAACTGTGATTTGAATCCCCCTTACCTTAACCTCAATATCTCCAATTTTATTGACAGCCCTTATGATGGGTCTGCCGACCATGGAGGGGAAAATATGGGCCGGGAAATTGCTCCCAGCATACCCACACTTGACAAACTGCAACTCACTTTAGTTAAATTTCAAGAGAAAAAAAAACAAAACTCACCCCAGTTCCATTGTCACAAACAATCACTTTTCTACCTTGACTATCCATAATTAAATCAATTCGATTGTTAATTAATAAACAAGAGGTGTTTTTAAGCCCTAATTACACTAAAACAGTCACTCCAGGAAATCTGTCCACGCCCATAGATATAACCAACACATATCACAATTTACCGTAACTGAAACGTTCAATGATATCAACAATTTGTTTAAATTGTGTTTATTTATTTAATTTAAATTAATACAATTTGGAAATTTGATTAAATTACCCGTTTTAGGACCGGTGCTTGTGATATGCACCCCGCAACGCGTGACGTCACCACAGACATGGAACGCACTCAAACATTAATAAAATTCAATCAAATTAAAACTAAACACAAGTTTTATATTTTCATCCACTCTATTTTAAAATAATTCAACATTAATTAAATATCTGTTTTTACAATTTTTAATTGGAACGTGGCCTCCATCAGACACTCAATCTGTAAAAGAGCTAACAAAAACCCGGCAATATTTATTACCAAGTTTAACAAGTTTGACTCAGGTGATAATCTTCTTGACAATTCTTTCAAACATTTTGCAATTTTTTAATTAAGTAATTTAAAAATGCACTTTAGGTCTTGTGCACTTACGACAACCGGCATTTTGCAATGTTTGCTCCAGGTCACGTGTTGTTTGTTCATGTTTTTCTGTCATTGTGCAAAACAAGTCGGTTCGTGTTTACTCTTTGATTTTGTTATTAATTTTAATTAGTATTTTATTTAATTAGTGTTTCAGTATTAGAAAAATGGAATCAGACACAGTAGAACTGGATGGGGTAAGTTGTTTTTCCTGAAAAAAACGTGTTATCTCTGCCTCCCACCCATATCAGTTACCTGTGAAATTTTTTATTACCTATGATAAGGGGCGGCTGTGATTTTTTCTCAAGTTGGTCAAATTGAATGAAATGTGTTGTTATTAATTTAATTAGTATTTTATTTAACTCGTTTAATTAGTATTACAGTATTGAAGAACTGGAATCAAACAAAGCGGTAGTGGATGAGGTAAGTTGTAGTTTTTCGTGAAAAAACAGATCTCTAACAACACCTGTGAAATTTTTTATTTCCTGTGTTAGGGGTGGCTGTGATTTGTTTTTTCTCAAGTTGGACAAATTGCATGAAATGTCACAATTTGGTTCAGTGTCATAAATTAAATTTTTTTAACTAAATTTCAGGATTACACAGTTCGTGATCACTTGAAAATCTATTTGCTCGACATAACCCATGACGATTACGGATGGCGTGACATTCGATGTAAAAAAAATGTCGAAAAACAGTCACTGGAATTATTATCGCGCTATTTTGGAAGAAAAACCTGTGTGTTTAACAGGAATCCCTTCACCGACGAACTTTCCTACGACATAAACTATATTAAGACCTTGTTTCCTTCCATGGACGAGGCTTACATAAGAGAACATTTACAATTATTCAGAGAGATGCCAAATCGTGTCGAAATGGCTCTACGAGTCATTGTTCACACGAAACAAAAAGAAGCCGCATTACGCAAAAGAACCGTTCTGAACGTCAAGTTAGAAAATAGCATAAAACCGCCAAAAATCAGAAAAGTCTCAGTGATGAAACAAACCCCCGAAGCCTCCACTTCGACTAACATTTGCATTGTTAATTTTAACGAAAAACCATGCACTATTACATCGTCGTCGGAGACTGAAGCCGATAACGACACACAACCCCTCAACGAGCCCGACGACTACCTCAGAATTGTGCTGAATATGGAGCAAAATGCGCGAAAAGTGGCCACTAACTCACAGGATTCAGATAAAACCGAGATTTATTCACCCGAAACGGAGGGCCCCCTCAATTTAAAAGTCGCAGAAGTTGGCGAGGAAGAAAGGTTTATTCAAGCGTGGGAAAGTAGTTTGTCCAATTTGGAAGGTGGGTGACAAAAAGTGTTATATTTTAATAATTAGTGTTTTTAACAGAAACGCCTTCGACGTCATTGGTACAACAAAATGAAATCGTGGATCAAAGTATGTGAACAATTTTGTTGTTTTATCAATTTTCATGAAACTTTTTTCAGGTGAAGAGAATTTTGATTTAGTAAAATATGTCCAAGGTGTTACAAAGGCCCCCCCCGGTGTGATTAAATATCACTGTAGAAAATTACGTTTGTCACGACATAGAAAACCTCAAAATGCGCTTCTTGATCTTCTTATTAATAATGTTTTAAGTAATAGTTTAGATTCGGACACGAGTGATGATAGTGAAAGTCCAAAGATAATCGGTATTTGAGCATTTTTTAATGATTTTTACTAATGTTTTTTTTTTTGTAGATGTTAATAATGAGTTGCAGGATCGGTAAGTTGGGTTTTTGACCGAAATGGAATTTATTTATCGGTTTTAGACCCGAGCAAAGTTACGATGAACCAGAAAATGTTAACATTCAATTGGTTAATCATTTATGTAGCATGATTCCTGATGCTTGTCCTCGTTATATAAGAAATTTGTGTCAGAATAAAGCCATGAATGATGCGGTTGTGGATGAATTAATTACAGTTATTTTTAGTAGTGAGTTGGGACAATTTTTAGAAATTTCATTGTTTAAAATTTTTTTAAGCAAACAATGAGTATCCAAAGCGAACTTTACCGGTCCCTGAACCGGAAGTAATCCCGGAAAATCAGTTTGAAATCCTCCGGGAAGTGCTTCCGGACGCCGATCCTGATTACCTCCGCATGATGTGTGATAAATTCGAGGGAAAATCAGAAAGTGTGAAAACTTTCATTAATGAAGCGATGGAAAAACGCGATTATCCCAAATTGAAGGATTACCAACGTAAACAACAATTATCTGCACAACAAAAACAATACACGAGTGAATTTGATGTTAAAAATTTCGTGAAAGTAATCCCAAATCCCGAGGATTTTTTCCATGAAAAGTCACGAACTCTCAAAGTGGACACATTTGATAGTCATTATGCTCTAGTTTTCCTAAAAAATACCTTTAATAAGTTGTCTATTCGTACGATTCAAAGTGTTTATCAAGCAAATTCCACTAAAGACAACTGTAATCTATCGAAAACTTTTAATCAATTGGAAAAAATGCAAAAGTTTGGGATTGAAGTGATGAAAAGTGTTCGTAGAGCTGCCCCATTGCCTAATAACATCACCAACATACCACTCCTTCAAGAGGTGAATTTTCTATCAAGTGTGTCAAAAATTAATTGTTGTTTTTTAGATCGCATATTTGGGTCATAGACGCGAAATCACCGATTATGTCAACGAAATTAAACAACGTGAAAATCTGGAACGTGAAGAAGTGAAAAGTTTAGGTTTAATGCAAACATGTAATTGTTGCTACGATGAAGAAGTTCTCCCACGTGAGATTTACACGTGTGAGAATAATTGCGAATTTTGTAAATCTTGTATTGTGAAAAGTGTCGAAGTGGCGTTTGGGGAAGGAAAACTGTCTTTTCCATGTCTCGCCAGTTGTGAATCATCATTTAGTCTTCAAACATTACAAGTAGGTGGTGATAAGTCATTGTGTTTGAATAAAACGTATTTTAGGCCGTTTTGAGTCCGAAATTGTTTTCGAAAATCGCCCAAAAGAAAGCCCTCGAGGAGATTAAAGCTGCAGGAATTGAGGAGTTGGAAATGTGTCCTTTTTGCGATTTTGCCACGATTCCTGCTGAAGGCTATAACATTTTCACGTGTTTGAATCCTGAGTGCATGAAGGAGTCCTGCAGGATGTGCAAGGAGCCGTCGCATATTCCTTTACGATGTGAGGAAATTGAAAAGGATGCTGATGTCAAGGCGCGAATTTTTGTTGAGAATAAAATGACTGAGGCTTTGTTGAGGTAACAAAACAAGTAATTTTATTATTCACTTGAGTTAAAAATTGCAGGAAATGTTATAAATGTGGGGTGAAATTTTTCAAAGAAGAGGGTTGTAATAAAATGACTTGTTCTTGTGGGGCCTCGATGTGTTACATATGCGGAAAACCAGTCACCGATTATAAACATTTTAATGGAAATGGGGGCGATCGTTACGATTTGTGTCCTTTGTATAGTGATACACATGTTTTAAATAAGGAGAATGTGCTCAAGGGGGCTGCTGAGGCTAAAGCCGAGTTGGGAAATGTGGTTTTGAAGCATGACCCAACAAAGGATGTACAGCAACACTATAGTGAGAGGAAAAGGAAACTTCCATTAGATCATCTAGTCGTAAGTGATTTTTTTTAAATAGACAATTTTTGATTGGTTTTAATACCAGGTGGGGGGACAACATGCCCGTTTCCAGCATAATCATTGGCCCTAATTATAAATATTTTTTACCATTTGAATAATACATTTATTTTATTACGATTGTGATTTTATTTGGTCTCCTTATGTTTAGCGGCCATTTCCTTTATGTGCAACCTCCGATCGTAATAATTTTAATTTTTTTAATATAAAACGTTTCAGTTATTGTAATCAAATTAGCTTTGAGAGTGGTAACCTTGCGTCAATAATTATGTGATTGGGGTCAGATTTTTAATGCAGTTTTTTAATATCTATTAATTAACAAATTTGAAATAAAAGTCCCTGAAAAACGTTTTTTGTTGTGTTGAAAATTTTTTTCGAAAATTATTAAAATCAAATTAGTCAATAAAACAATTTATGTGGTAGTTGACCTTCGATATATCAGTTGAAACATTTTGATGATGCTTCCTTCGTTTTTTTTTAATTATTCAATCGAGTCGAGGACATTTCCGTTTTTGCAAAAAAACTATAAATATTCACACCGCAGATGATATTTCTTATCATAATCCAAATCGCTATCGAGGTTGAAATTTATATAATTTGAGTGCTGCTATTCGCTAGCATTCGTCCCTGGAATATTTACAATAATTAATAAATGTAGGAAGTTATTAAAAACAGTACATTTCATAATTATAATGGATACGTACAAACTCATTTTCACTATTTTTTAACCTGATTTGTCATGATTGGAATTAAATACAACTCGAACGCTTCAAAAACTCGAATTCTGGTTGGGGATTTCCCAGGTTTGATAAGAAAATTGATTGAGAAAATTTGATTTTGTCTCCTCTTTTTGTGGGTTTTCCCAAAAGTTTTGATGCGTTTTTATGCCCTCAAATAACACTCGAATAAATCGAAATTAAAAACAAAATATTTTCTCCCTCTGAAAAGACAAAAATATGTATTTTTAGACAGTAAGTTGAATGTAAAATTAACAGTTATTTAAAAAAAAACTTTAAATATTTTTCAAAGGAAAATATGGAGACATTTTTTACTTTTATTTAAAAAATATATTTTTTTTGGTATTTTTATCGTGAAATTGATATTGTGATTCGGGTTTTGGTTAAATTATCTATTTCCTCTTTAAAATGACACCTTTTTAAATAAAAAAACCCTCTTTATACCAACAAATTTCAGTGTGATTTGTTTTTTAATAAACATAAAAAAAACTTTAAATTGGAAAAAGCTTAAATTAAATATTTTTCCATTTAAAGAGAATTTTTTTACCAAAATAATATTGTCCCTTTTTATTTAATTTGTTTTATTTATAAAATTGTTTTTTATTAGTTATTGTGGAAGCAAATACAGGGTATACTATCTGGTTAATGTAATTGTTCACTAAATTTGGTGATTTTTCGGCTTATTTTTGAGGAAATTTTATAAAATAATTTCGTTTCTGACTCAAAAACGTGCTAAAACGATCAAAAATTTGAAAATATTGTCATTTTCGACCTAATTTAGTGATTTTAACGCTTTGTGTATCTCAAAAGGTACTTAAATATTCAAAAAAGGCAACAATAACACTATTTTTCACTTAATTTAATGTTTCGGTTTATTTTTGAGTTATCTGCATTTTTTTTAGATTTCATAAAAAAAACTTATAAAATAGTATTTCATACGTTTTTAAATACAATAATAACAGGTTTTTGGAAAAATTAATGGATTATATACTACGGTTTTTGTTAATTATGTTGTTTTTGATTTAATTTGTCCGATTAAGTAAAATCTTAACGAATAACGAAAATAAATTTAGTGTTTTTTGGGCCCATTTAAGAGAATTTTCGGGAAGAAAAAAGGTTTTTAGCTCGAAAATGTATTCAAAAAGGCAACAAGAACACCATTTACGCTTTTGTTTGGTGATTTTTCGGATTATTATTAATTTCTAACTGAACAACTTTAAAAAACGATTGAAAAATGCAAAAATTGAGTAAATTTTTACTTAATTCATGATTTTTCTGCTTATTTCTAAGAAATTTCGTAAAATAACTGCAATTTTTTCTGACGAACATCTGAAAAAGACAAATTAAAAAATGTAATTTTTAACCTAATTTTGTGTTTTTTTTTGTCCAGTTTAGCTCAAAAACGTATTTAAGCTCTCAAAAAAGGGAACAACAACAGCATTTTCGCCAAAATTTGGTACTTTTTTAATTTATTTTTGCGAAAACTTTGCAAAAATTGCGTTTTTGGTCGGAAAATAAACAAAAACGCCCTAAAAAGCTAAAAACGGTGTCATTTTCGGGCTAATTTAATGATTTTTGGGCCCTGTTAAGAGAATTATTGCGAAAAAATAAGGCAAAAATAGCGTTATTTTCGAGAAAAATTGGTGATTTTTTAGTCCGGTTTAAGAAATATCGTAAACAACTGAATTTTTAACGTAAAAACATATGTAAACATTGGAAAAGAACACCATTTTTGGCCTAGTTTATGTATTTTTCTAACGAATAAACGAGAAATTTTTGCGAAAATTGTGTCATTTCCACAAAAAAAATGAGGTTTTAGTTCGAAAATGTATTCAAACGCACAAAAAAGGCTTTAAAAAAAATTTAATCAGTTATTGAAATCTCGGAGGTAAATACAGGTGTCCTATCTGAGAGTTTTTCGGTTAACTTTGTTAAAAAAATAATAGATTAATAAAAAACAAAAATAATTTTTTTTTTGGCTAAATTTGGTAGTTTTAGACTTATTTTTAACTCAAAAGCGTGTTAAAATGCTCAAAAAATTTAAAATAAATACTGGCACTTTCGACCTAATTTAGTGATTTTAGAGACAACAATACTATTTCCCTTAATTTAATAATGTTTTGGCTTATTTTTGACGAAATTTTTGAGTTATCTACAATTTTTTTAGATTGTATAAAAAAACTTGTAAAATGGTACTTTATACGTTTTAAAACGCAATAATAACAACTTTTTGAAAAAAATCTATGGATTACATACTATGTTTTTTGTTGATTTTGTTGACTTCGATTTGATTTGTCTTATTAAGTAAAATTTTACGAATAAACAAGAATTTTTTAGCAAAAATTGTGTCATTTAGTGATTAATTTTTGCGATCCTTTGGGCCTAGTTACGAGAATTATCACAAAAAAAAATAAGTTTTTAACTCGAAAATATATTCAAATGCACGAAAAAGGTTATTTATCGGTCTTGTTTGCTAATTTTTTGGATTTTATTTGACGAAATATGTCTGAAAAACTTACAAAAACGCCGAAAAAAGGAAAAATAACACCGTTTTGGACTCCAATTGATGATTTTTCGGCCTATTTTTGACGTAATAAGTGCGTTTCTGGCTGAAAAAATTACAAAAATGGTTGAAAAATGTAAAACTTATGGGACTTTTTATTATTTTTCTGTTTATTTCATGTTTTTGGCTTAAAAACGACGGAAAAAGACAAATTAAAAAAAATTGTTTTTTAGCCCAGTTTAGCTTAAAAAAAAATTAAACGCTTGAAAGAGGGAACAAAAACAGTTTTCATAACATTTATTTAAAAAATAAACCGAAATTAGCACTTTGTAGAAATAGAAAAAGTGCGATATTTAATTCGTGCAAGTTTTGAATTGCAAAATTTTTGCAAAAGTGTAACACTGAACCTCGGGTTAGTGTACTTCCCCTCTCGGGAAAAGTATTAGAGGAAACAAGTGCGAAAAACCCGTGTAATTTTTAATCTAATTTAGTGTTTTTTTTTTGGCCCCGTTTAGCTTAAAACCTATTGAAACACTCAAAAAAAAAGGAACAATAACACCATTTTTGGCTACATTTGGTGATTTTTCGATTTATTTTTGCGAAAACTTTGCAAAAATTACATTTTTGGACGAAAAACAAACAAAAGCGCCTTAAAAAAAAGCCAAAAACAGGAGTTTTTGGCAAAAATGGTATCATTTTCGGGTTATTTTAATGATTTTTGGGCCCCGTTAAGAGAATAATTGCAAAAAAATAAGCCAAAAATAGCGTTATTTTCGAGGAAAATTGGTGATTTTTCAGTCCGGTTTAAGAAATATCGCAAAAAAACTAAATTTTTAACGTAAAAACTTATTTAAACATTGGAAAAGGCTACAAGGACACCATTTTTGGCCAAGTTTAGGTATTTTTTCAAACGAATAAACGAGAAATTTTTGCAAAAATTGTGGCATTTCCACAAAAAAAAAGTTTTTAGTTCTACTCGTAATAAAATGTATTTAAACGCACAAAAAAAAGTTTTTTTTTTAATTGTTTTTTTTTTTTTTTTTAAATCAGATAATGAAATCTCGGAGGCAAATACAGGGTATCCTATCTGAGTTTTTAGCGTAAAAACTTACTTAAACACCATTTTTGGGCTAGTTTGGGTATTTTTTAGCTTATTTTTGACGAAATAAGTGCATTTCAGAATGATAAACGAACAAAAACATTTGAAAATGCAAAATTTTGTTGTTGTTTTTCAATTGGCCGATTAACGAATATATAATGAGAAATTTTGTCAAAAATTGTCATTTTCTGAAAAAAAAATTGAGTTTTTAGCTCGAAAATGTATTCAAACACCATTTTCGGTCTTGTTTGGCGCATTTTTGACGAAATAATTGCGTTTCTGGCCGAAAAATGTACCAAAATGCTTCGAAAAAGCAAAAAATATGTATTTTTTTTCGTTAAAAATAATTGCTTTTTTGGCTAAAAACGTCCGAAAAATAATAACTTTATTTGTTGTTTTCTTGAAAAACTGTTCATTTTATTTGATTTTTTTTTATAAAAGAGTCATTAATATAAAAAATAATAGATTAAGAAGCTGATTCCAACGTGCTGAGAGGAAAAGTGAAAAAGAATAAATTTGGTGACTTTTCGGCTTATTTTTGACGAAATAAGTGCGTTTCTGGCTGATGAACTCAAAAATTGTTTAAAATAATAAAATAAAAGTTTTCATAACATTTATTTCAAAAATAAACCGAAATTAGCACTTTGTGGAAATAGAAAAAGTGCGATATTTAATTCGTGCGATTTTTGAAATGCAAAATTTTTGCAAGTTTGTAACACTGAGCCTCGGGTTAGTGTACTTCCCCTCTCGGGAAAAACATTAGAGGAAACAAGTGCGAAAAACCCGTGTCCATCAATGTCAGACGTCGCAATTCCATCGCCGCGAGGGAAAGTCCGCAACAAGGCCTCCACGTGACCTCACCTTTAAAACCTCGTCGATGTCCCATTCCTCGTCACTTGTGAATCAGTCGTGCCCCCACGAGGATCACCCCATCATGCCGGCGACAGGTGAACAAGACTTGGTGCAAGACCTCATGGAAGAGCCCGCCACTTTCAGCGACGCCGTCCTCTCCTCCGACGAGGAAACCTACCCCCAGTGCTCCAAGCCCCTGTCCATGTACCCCACACCCCCCAAACCGGTCTCGTTCGAGAGCCTCCCCAACAAGGACCGCCACGAGGAGTTCTTGCGCAAATCCGTGGAGGTCCTCCTCAAGGAGGCGGTGTTCGAGGGGACGAGTCGCAAGAATCGCGTGTTGCAATGGAGGGAGCCGGAGGAGTTGAGGAGGTTGATGGATTTCGGGGTGGGGAGTGCGCCCTCCACGCACGAGGAGTTGCTGGAGGTGTTGAAGAGGGTTATAACGTATTCGGTTAAAACCGGGCATCCGTATTTTGTAAATCAGTTGTTTTCGGCTGTGGATCCGTATGGTTTGGTGGCACAATGGGCCACGGATGCCCTCAATCCCAGTGTTTACACGTATGAGGTGTCACCGGTTTTTGTTCTTATGGAGGAGGTGGTTTTGAGGGAGATGAGGGCCATTGTGGGGTTTGAAGGGGGAAAGGGGGATGGGATTTTTTGCCCAGGAGGGTCCATTGCCAATGGGTATGCCATCAGTTGTGCCAGATACAGGTTTATGCCCGATATTAAGGTGAGTTTTGCATTTTTATCACTTTTTTACTTTATCACTGTTTATGGTTTGTTATCAGTAAAGTGGGACAATTAGGGGTTATTATCAACTTTTTACAAAAACAACACTTACATTTTGAGAAATATCTTTCAAAATTTTCATTTTCTTTGCTTTTTTATTATTTTTTTTAAACAGTTATTGAAGTCGCGGAGGTTAAGGTGTCTTATTTAAGAGTTTTTCGGTTAACTTTGTTAAAAAAATAATAGATTAATAAATAACAAAAATGACACCTTTTTTTGGTTAAATTTGGCGTTTTATTGGCTTATTTTTGAGAAAATAATTGCAAGTCATTTTCGGACTAATTTAGTGATTTTCGGGCCAATTTAAGAAAATTTTTGCAAAAAAAGTTTTTAGCTCGAAAATTTCCGGACTTGTTCGGTGATTTTTCGGATTATTTTTGACGAAATAAGTGCGTTTCTAGCTGAAAAAGGCAAAAACTATGTAATTTTTTGCCTAATTTAGTTATTTTTTTTTACCTAATTCGAAAAAGGGAAATTAAATAATGTAATTTTTAACCTAATTTATTGTTTTTTTTTTGCCCAGTTTAGTATACTGTTTATGATGTGTTATCAGTAAAGTGGGATAATTAAGGGTTTTTATCGTTATTTGTCAACTTTTTACAAAAACAACACTTACATTTAAAAAAAAACTAAGTAATGATTCTAAAAATACGAATAAAAATATTGGAATCTTTAATTAAATTGTGCAATTTTAGTCTTAAATAAAACTTAAATTTCAAGTTGACAGATGTTTGACAGCAAAGTCTGTGACCATGGTTGTTTGTTGCCGTGGATATCACTCATTTAAAATTCATACTTTTTGCTTTCAGTGTTGTGTAGTTCTCACTTTAAATTGAAATATCTTTAAAACGGTCCATTTCATTCAAAATTGTTTTGACCAAAAAAAAATAGTGTTAGGAGGCCAAAAAAAAAAACGAGAAAACGCAGAAAATATTTTATAATATTTGGTCAAATTGTTCCGAAGTTATTACAAAAAAAAAAAAAAACAAATTTCCATACCCGTAAAATTCTTATTAGTAGAGATAGGATACGAGTCATTATTTAAATTAACATCATTTTATCAGTCATTTTTGAGGTTCAAATATTGCGTCATATTTATGAATAACCCTGTATACATAATAAGTTACATAAAAGAAAACTTAATTTTAAAAGTAATGTTTTATTGTTACGAAGTTTTTCATTTAATGAAACTTTCAAAATTTTCATTTTCTTGGCTTTTTTATTTTTTTTTAATCAGTTATTGAAATCGCGGAGGTAAATACCTATAGGGTGTCCTATTTAAGAATTTTTTGGTTAATAACTTTGTTAAAAAAATAATAGGTTAATAAATAACAAAAGTAACACTTTTTTTGGGGTAAATTCGGTGTTTTTTGGGTTATTTTTGAGGAAATTTTGCAAAATAATAGCAAAAAAGAGTCATTTTCGGACTAATTTAGTGAATTTTCGCGAAAAAAAAGTTTTTAGCTCAGTTTGTATGGTAATTTTTCGGATTATTTTCGACGAAATAAGTGCGTTTCTGGCTGAAAAACGTAAAAGCGATTGAAAACGGCAAAAATTTTGTAATTTTTTACCTAATTTAATTAATTTTTTTTACCTAATTCGAAAAA